TAACAATTTATTTCCTAATAATAAAAATGGGATTTATTTATTAAAGTATCAAATAAAGGGTTGACATTTTTAAGATATAAATATACAAAATTTCACATTGGATTATACATGATTTGATAACTTTTTTAACAAAATGAAAATATTGAGATTTATTTTATAAAAATTCAAGACCTTGTTTACATTTTATGTGTATTTATGCTAGATTTTATTCATATTTATATTTAAATATTAAATGAAGCTAATATTTCTTCTACAAAAAGACAGTTAAATTTAGAAAAAATGTTCATATTATTTAATCCTTTGAATAATAGAATAATCTTGGTCGAATTAAATCATTTGCATATGGATAGTCCCACCAGGGTTACTGATGAAACAAATTCATTTAAGAAACAAAAGAACTAACTTTCATATTTCTGTTGATTATGACAGAAAACTCTTGTGAAATCTGTAATAAAAAAATATTTATTTATTTGATTAATAAAATCTATCTTGTGATCTTGAGAATCAACGTGTTAATACAATGAACTCTTTTTTTAAAGTAAACTTATGATCATCTTAAATTTTCAGGATATCTACAACCGATATATGCATTATAGGATATTCAAATCAATCAAAGAATTCTTGATTCGTGCTAAATATCTCAAAGATGCGTTGCTATTGTACATAAACAAACTTACTCTACTTGTAAATCCTCATGTGGCATTTGAGATTTCGTCTTCTCATATTGCTCATCAATCTAATATTTTTTGGACCCAATGATAAGTTTACACTTTTATTATGCTTGACAACTTTTGGCTTGAATATCGTGATGATATATAGTAATACCATTGAATTGATTTGTGATCGTAGATGTGACATAGATTTGAACCTTTCTTAAAAGAGGTTCAAATCTATATAAACATTTTAAAATTGATCAACAAAATATAAAATTTTAAAGTTTTGAGCTCTAGAGACATTATATGCAATAGTATTATATCTTTATGTATCATTATATACAAAGCATTTTGAGTAAAAACGAGCTTATGAAGACGTGTGCAGTCGTTTTTTCTTTATATGTATGAGAAGATAGCCAATATTTTCCCTATTGATGTGAAAATCATTGGACACGTAAATTATAGTTTATTTGCGCTCGGAGTGGTCCTGTTAGAGAACTATTTTCTTATCTGAGGCCATGCGGTTAGTCCGGGCCGAGGTTCATCTCTAATCCCGATGGGGAGTTAGTGTAACAAAAAGAATCCAAGACGAAGACATTGTAAGAATATCAACTGTTTTTTCCCATATACTTCAAATCATGGACGTAAATTTTAATAAATGTTTATGAGAGGTAATATTCTTTAAGAACACGTTGTACAAAATTCTGCTAATCTATACTGAAATTTTTCATATCTTTAGCCGCTAGTGGAAAACTCATAACATTACATTATTCTTATTGGTATGCAGACTTTATTTCTTTTTTGCATTCCGTTGGAGTATACAATTTGGATTTGTTTAGTTACATCAGCAAAAATATTTTACAATATGGGGTTATGAAGACTAGCCCGTGCTACTTATTTGCTTTGATGCTGATGAGGCTTGATGGGACCTTCCCATCAAATTTGCTAAACGACTTAGTCCTCCTTCTTAGTTTAATCATCTCATTTTCGCAATGGTCGAGATTCTTCCAGAAGGAGAGTTTCATCCCATAATCAGCACAGGAACAGACAGACGTGGCAAATAGAGTAATTTAGAATTTCGTACATTTCCACTCAGAAGATTGACAAGAAGTCAAACTCTGACAGTCGTTAACGTCTTTCTCCTCGGTATCCGCTTCTGGACGAGACCAATTAATAAAGTAACTGGCTTTGACTATGACCGACTCCGAGAGTCTAGAAGTCTGTCACTAGAGGAGCCCTGTGGACTGTAGGTACACCAAAGTCAAGCACTCATCGCACCTTCAGTATAATAAAGCAAGAGGGAGGAGCCCTGTGGACTGTAGGTACACCAAAGTCAAGCACTCATAGCATCTTCAGTATAAAAAAGCAAGAGGGAGGAGCCCTGTGGACGGTAGGTACACCGATGTCAAGCACTCGAAACCAGCGCATCCAATAACGAGCCAGCGCACCTTCAGTATAATAAAGCAAGAGGGTAGAATTGGGCTATAAGCTGAGTGATGGAGAGTGGAAGGCGGGCTGGAGTGAAGGAAGTCAACAAGAACTAGACGTGGTAAGAAATTCTCCGGAACTTGCTACTCTCCTATTTGCTTCTGTCGTAAGGTCTCGGCTTGATTTGCCAGTAATCTTTGCGGTCCTACAAGTGGTGCAAGTGCTGTGATGTAACTTGATCTCTCACTATACCAGCTGGTGAATTGTAAAGTACATTTATTCACATTGATACTTAGACGTCTATCAGAGGAATACCATTGAGCGTCAGACTTCATTCATACTGGACAGCTGTCATTCACTGCAAGAGGGGATTGCGACTAAAATTCGACTTCCGCACCAGATTCTGCAATTTCCACCGCACAGGAATTAACCCTCGCCTGCTTGGAAAGCAGGAAGGTGGTGAGGATATTCCTTCTCCACCTATTCTGAAGAGGGCTTTTAGCACATTCTGGAGGTATTGGTAGACATATTGTCAACTAGTTCGACTGCTCTCGAAGTAACAGGAGTAGCACAGAGTAGGTGCTTGTACTTATGTTGGGTGTGCACAGAAGAAGAAGACTTGATGTGGCGGCATAATGTAACAATTAAAAAATGTAGAGATCTCATAAGAATACACTAGCATCGAAATATATCTCATTTGCATGAAGGTCGGGGTTCGCATGAGTTGATTCCTTGACGCACAATCTTGACACACTTAAGAACTCTAAATTTTCATGGCGAGATAATGTATTGTCCATTGAATCTTTTGGCCTTGAGATGAGGATGTAAAGATCGCTGTTAATAAGGACGGTCTGCACAAGAGAACAAAAGCTCTGTCGTCTTCGTCACAAGAGCTGAAGCGACCCAGCCGAGTGCCAGGATCAATGATTTTGAGGATGGACGGAGCTGATAACACAAAACACACGGGAACATCCGCAACGAAGAAGCTACATAGGAAGATCATGTAACCAAATTTTCATACAAACACCAGAAGATTGTGTCACCGCACGTCAGCAGTGGTATGAGCAAACATGGATGCAATTACCTGGTAACCGAGCGTAGCCAGGATTGAGATTTGGAAGTCCAATTCCACCCAACATCCTTTTGATCTTGTCTTCCTATGAACGTTCTTGTTGAGCAGCATCAGGTTGAATATTTTCTCCATCAGTTAGGTCCAGGTGAGGAGGAGGAGAGCTGGATTTCTGACTCTGAAAGTCCTGTAAGTTGACCGATCATCCCTCTTCTCTTCCGTGCTGCTTAAATTCTCTAGTGCTTTCACATCTGAAATTTAGAGTCTCTCTATCCAATGTGCACTTTCCGAGTTGACAATGTGTTATGAGCGATCATCGAGTTCAACATGCATGCTCGGAATAAGCACCAGAAAAGATTATTTGACTTGGTTGGCGCGCATGAAGAATCGTCCTCGGTCGGTAATGAATCAGTCTCATTAACGGGGCCACACGCTTGAAAGCTCGATGTTCGACCCCTTCAATTGAATATAAACATTTCGATCCACTTGATCATTCAAATCTTTCAATCTGTTCACTTTACCGCGAGGAATCCATCGAAACGATTACTTTAGATTTCGCTTCCCACATCTGGTCTACAAGTCTCTCGAAAAAAGCCTTCATCTCAGCAGCTTTGCAACAGAAAATATTCAACTGGGATGGAAGACGGTCCTGAAGAAATTAATAATCTCTCCTCTGGCAGACATCTTACGCCTTTGGGTTTATCCGTGGACTGCTAGATGAATCTCCAACATCTTTATTGCTACAAAAGTATACTCTGAGTTCCAATAAAGTAGCTTACAAGGGAGATGCTGTGAGTACTTAACGTGTGCTAGACTTACATGACTGTACCCCTGCCTTCTGCATGATAGAATAGGTACCTCGTCATGTACGGGAAATGGATTGTAACATACCTTTCACCTACTTGAAACCAAATGGGTTGTTTGGAGCTAGATCCCAACAGAGTTTTCAATTTCACGATGGAGAACTTGTCCTATTATATGCGCAGCTGGCGCAAAATAACTGTAGTCAACTTGTTGCCAGAACATGGTAAATAACATTCATTGTGATCGTGGAGTATCGGGTTGAGCTCTTGAGATGCCAAGACTTCGTCATGGAAGGAAGCTTGACGAAGTCTCTAGTGGAAAGAGATCTCCATGTAATCTTCCCTCCCGATATGAGACAGCTGCAACAGTTGATAATACCCAAAAGGCTTCGAAATATCTGATTAACCTCCTCAAAGATGAAAGGGGGCCTCAGGGAAATTTCATAATTACTTTTAAGCCTATAGTTAAAGATCAAATTTCAGCCAGTGAAGATATTCTTTATTACCTCTGAATTGCATCAATCGTTAGGAAATAGGAATGTAAGATCCAAAAGTGACGCGCTTTTTTGGAATCTGCTTGATCTCAGTTAGACGTTATATTCTCTGTCTTACAGACTTGGCGTCTAGAAATTTCCAGTTATTACTCTTGTCCCTTCAGCAGCCGACAGAAGCTCAGGGGATCTGAGCACACATGCCGTATACAAAAAAAAGGAAGGACGATTTGCTTTTTAATAAGCTGACTGTTGAAGTGGGCTCCCCTCGCATTGAGATGGCCACGAGGAACAATATCGACCGCTTTTCCGGATTTTCGTTGAAACTGGTGTACCAGTAAGTGCTCCAGTCATTGAGGTGAAAAATCTCGTGCCTGGTGACGTACTAGAGCGCGTTGAAATTAAAAAAGTACTCAAAAGGAAATCCTGATTGATTACGTGTCTTGATCCTCGCCCGACGACTCGCCCAACCAGGAAGGAAGGGGCAAGGAAGCACATCGGGTGTATGTGAGAGGGTGAAGCCTCGAACATTTGCCCTGGGCTGTCGTGGTCTTGTTCTGCTCATTGACAGTCGACAGTTTTAGAGAAGTGACGCGAACAAAAGGACCTCCAGCGTTGCTCTTCATGGCAGCCAGCACACCACTTCCATGTGAGGGTGAAGCCTCGAACATTTGCCCTGGGCTGTCGTGGTCTTGTTCTGCTCATTGACAGTCGACAGTTTTAGAGAAGTGACGCGAACAAAAGGACCTCCAGCGTTGCTCTTCATGGCAGCCAGCACACCACTTCCATGTGAGGGTGAGCTCGAGCCCGATCGGAGTTAATATATATCAAATATTTGAGTTTCCATGTAAGTTTGTCTAATTCTTTAGACTTTGAACGAGATCTTCATCTGAAGTCATGTTTCATTGTTATCTTTCCACCACGCAGAGTACTTCACATCTGAGTTATCTGCGCTTCCATGCTTTCCATGAAATTCGGAGTACACATCTCACTATCTTTGCTACGAACTCTTTTGTATTGCAGATTCACCGGCAGAGCTCTAATCTTGTACACTCAGTTTGGTCACTAGTGCACATCGAGCTCCTCTCTACTCTCTCGGTTCGAGTTCGAGTAACGCAAAAGGTTTGTGTTACTATGAGGTCCCCTTTGCACAAGCTTTACGATTTACTTCGGAACCAGAAACCTGGTTCCCTGCGGTTCATTTTGATTCACATCACTTGTCTAGACTTGCTTTGACTTCAAGCATTTTGATTCACATCGCTTGTACAGCCTTTGAGCAGCCTCCTGCTTCCACTTTTCACAATCTTCCAGTTCGTGGTGATTTCCATGATCTGATTCTGTGAAGAGCATTGAGTAATCTTTGTGTTGGTCCTCATGCAGAGTGCAAGAAGTCTTATGCCCAGCACGCACATGCACATAAGTTGTGACAATTCGACAAGAAGTTAAGTTTTATTTTGGAGAGCCGGTTCTGGGGATCGAGAAGGGGGCTCCTATAGTCCCGGTTACATTTCGCTCGCGCATGTAGAGCAGCAAACAGTTCTTCCTCTGTGAGAGTGGAGGAGAAAATGGAGAGTGCAGGTGAGTCCATCTTCAGGGACGCTGCTGAACTTGCGACAGTGGGGATGGTACCTTACTGTCTTGTTGCCAGAACTCAAGGTTTTTGCTTCTGCTTGGTCTGAACTTTAAAGACACAACAAAGAATTTTTACCTATCCCGCGAGCTAAGAGAATGTAACTTGTGAACTTGCAGGTCCAAAATCTGCAAAGTACATCAATGCGCTACTCATAGCCGCGACTGGCATTTCAATCTTGTTTGGTATATTTAGTTTCTTAGGTTACTTCTTGGTAAGAAGGAACAACCACAAGCAAGCGGGGTTGGACTCCGCAGACGAGGAACCAGAGCTTCCTCCCGCTGTTCAGGGGTTGGACTCCGCAGACGAGGAACCAGAGCTTCCTCCCGCTGTTCAGGGGTTGGACTCCGCAGACGAGGAACCAGAGCTTCCTCCCGCTGTTCAGGGGTTGGACTCCGCAGACGAGGAACCAGAGCTTCCTCCCGCTGTTCAGGGGTTGGACTCCGCAGACGAGGAACCAGAGCTTCCTCCCGCTGTTCAGAGGTTGGACTCCGCAGACGAGGAACCAGAGCTTCCTCCCGCTGTTCAGGACCTTATACGGAAGCTGGATAACAAAACCGAGCCTTTACGGTGGCTTCCCACATTAGCCTATCCACAATTTCAGGATTTTTTTCCGCAGCGTGCATTGCTTTCGACTATCACAGGGTGGCAAAGCCAAGTTCGCCTTCGAGTGCTGGAGGCAATCGGCAGGTGCAACACCCTTCAATATCTGGACGTTCAGGATATTTTTAGCGGAGATATTTCGAGGCTAACGGCTAACGAGTGGAAGGTACTTCTGAGAGGTTTTAGCTGTAGCACCCATCTACGAGTGATAAGAGTTGAAAGATTGACATGGACCTCACTTGCGGAAGTGGAGAGCTTGTGTTTACAGCTGGGGGGAATTCTGAGAACCTCTAGTGTAACAGATATGACAATTGGCAATTGCAGATTGAGTGATAGATGTTTCTTGAATCTCGCATCAAGACTGGGAGGAGATTACCAGTCTAAACTCAAGACTTTAGAACTATGTAATGCATGGAAGGACTCGAGTGCGATGAAGCATATGGCTGACATGATCAAGAGTGCTACTCGATTAGAAACTTTGGAAATAGGGGGTTCATGGGAGCGCATGTACGACATGGATGAGGAGGCCGCTAGAATCCTGTCGCAGGCTTTAATCCAGAGCTCATCCTTGAGAAAATTGGTTCTAAGGGAGGTGAAGGGCGAAGCGTCGGCCTTCTTGCTGAAGGCCTTCAGCAAGAAGGCATTGGATGGAGATGGCGGCAATCAAGCTATTCAATGTCTTCATCTAATTTCTGTGTTTGGACTCGGAGACTCTTTACGAGAACTTCTGAGCTCCAACTCATACTTGGAGGAAGTAACGTTGGCAGCCATCGACATGCGTCCCGAAGAATGGAGCCGACTGGGCCAAGCCATACGCGAGACTGCTACAGCAAAATCTATTCGCGTAACCCATTTCATGCGTCAGAAAGATGACTTGAAGGGAGTAGAAGAGCTTGTGTGTGCTGCTAGCTCAGATGATAAGGACCCCAAAGTGGAGCTGATTATCACATTTTACGATTACGATGCATTGATCTCAGCACTCAACTTTGTGGGTGAGGTATTGCGCGGAGAAATCAGATCTCTAGAATCTTTGATTCTATATTTCAATTGTTCTTGCCCTCCAGGCAGCAACGAAAATAGAATGCCAAGTATCGTCCCAATGGATGAAAATCTTAGAGACACTACAGTCCTGAAGAGACTGAAATTATTTTTCAAAAAGAAAGATACTTTGAAGGGAGTATGGAAGTACCTGCTTGTGTGCTTGCGAAATAACACAAGTCTCACTCAATTGGATTTGTCTGACTCTGAACTCGATGACGAGGCGTTCAGAGACCTGATGGGGCTACTTCAAAAGAACTTGACTCTCCGGGCGATAGAAGTCTCAGGAACCTCATGGCAAACGGACGGAAAGGCGGCGCTGATTCAACAGGCCCTCGAGCAGAACCGGAAGCGGGCAGAATACATGGCCGTGTTCCGAGAAGCCAGATTAGCGTTTGGAGATGCAAAAGTCGGTCGACTCTTTTTATGCGGCTCTCCTCGAGCAGGTGAGGTCCTCTGTCAGCTCTCAGTTTTTTTCTCAATGCATAAAAAAGTTAGCCATCTAAGGTTTTAATTCTAAAATTCTCTTCTCTTTAATTTTAGATTTTGATGTGAGATTTGAAAATTTCTAATACTATTTATTAACACACTTTGATCATAGAATATGGTTTCAAGTATTTTGTAAAAATAAATCAATTAACAAGTTTTCAATGTTCCATTTGTGATATCTATGTTAAATTTATCAGGCAAGACTCAATTGCGTCAAACCCTGATGAGGATAGTTCAAGTCAAGTTGAAAGACAAAGTGGCGAGGTTGTTCAGAACTACAGGAATTGAAGTGGAGTTTTTACAAAACAATGAGAAGAGGCAAATCTCAATTTGGGATCTTGCGGGACAAGAGATTTTTCGTACTCTTCAAAATGTGCTTTTCCCTCCAACTAGCAGTTTTTGTGTTTTTCTCTTTGTGTATAGTCCTTTCTGTGACAAAACATCTTCGATTAAACCAGCATCTTGTCTTCAGATAGAGTTGGAGGAATGGTTGAGTTTCATCACATCCTGCACGAGGGTCACGGGAGATAATCTTCCACAAGTTCTTGTTGTGATTTCACACAAGGATAAAATGCAATCCATTCCTTTGACGTGGGCTCAACCAATAGTGGAAAATCTGTCAAAACAATTTGCAAATTTTGTGGATGTCCATCCTATTCAAGAGCGTTTTCATATAAATGCTCGAAAGAAGAAGCAAGTTGTTCCTCTCAAAAATCACATTTTTCAAATATTTGAAAAGTTGTTGAGTGAAAGGTCCCCACAGGTTCCTAAATTGTGTTTTCAACTCTCCTTTGACTTGGTTACAAACACCAAGAATCACTCAAGTTGTCCTCTTTGGACATCTCAACAATTTCATGAATTCTGTACCCCTAGGTTGAGAAAACTCATTCCATCTTCTCCTCCTCTCTTCGTTGAGAGAATAATTAGTTCCATCAAATCCTATTTGAATGACGTTGGATCTATAGTTCATATTCCCAATCTTGATTATATCATCGTCAATCCAAATTGGCTCACGAATACATTATTGGGTGAGCTGATAGCTTTTGGTCAAAATTTTCAAGCTCAAGATTCTGAGTCTTCTGATAGATGGAGCTCATACACAAGCAAGGACGGATTTGTGAGTGAGAGTGTCTTTGCTCGGTTGATAGAAGAGTTTCTAGAAAAGCAACCACATGAACAGAGAAGTGTGGACAGAGAGGTGCTTGAAAACATCCTTATCAATTTGGATTTGTGTTTCAAGCTCGAAGATACTTCTCAGTATTTTATTCCCTCCTTCATACCTGAGCATGCAAGCATGGAAGAAGAGTCGGCCGTACAGTCGATGGCTTGGAAAACTTGGAATGAGACTTCAGAGTTTGCGGGCATGCGGATTCAATGCCAAGATGCAAGAACAATGTCACTGACCACAGCTTTTTTTCCATGCTTCCAGGTGATTTCATACATACTGTGAGAAAAGTAAATTCGTCAAGTTCTGATTGTATCTTGTGCACTATGAATGGAATGTTGCCTTTTCATATGTTAATTTCAATTTTTTGAATTTGAATCTCAATATTAACCAAATTTGATATCATTGTAGATGTTCATGAGACGCAAGTTGATATCGGAGATGGGTTTTTCCAAGGAGACTGTGACCTGCTCTCGATATTCTCTGCATCTTTTCCTTGACGGGCATGAAATTTATGTGGAGCAAGACAAGTCGCACAAATACGTGGATGTTCTAATGTTATGCTCGAGTCATCAGCCAAGGGAGAGGGCTACTAAATATGTGACGAAGCATATCGTCCAGGAGTTGATATCATTTTGCGCATCATCGAAAGGTTGTCCCGGGGTGGCGTTAGTGTTGGGTGTGATCCAAACACATTGCGTGGAGATGTTGATTCCAAGTAATCTCAGACGAGCCATTCTCATCGAGGAGCTGAAATCGGACTTCATTCGTAGCATCAATGACAAACTTGGAGAAATATCATTAATCATGTTGCACCTCAACATGATTAATGATTGGAAGAAGGAAGAGTTATTGAACTATAAGCACTGTTGGCCCTCGATTGGAAGAGACATAGGCAGAAGATCCGAACGAGCTAGAGATTTGTTGTGGGAGAGTGATGTGGAAGCAGTTGTGAATGAGATTCTACAGAATAGAATCCAACAATTAGAGTCATTGCAGGAAGGTCTAATTACAGTGGATTATGATTTGGCTGAGTGTTATTTTGAAGGTGAAAACATGATTAGCTGCTCCAATGCCCCCCAAATGAAAGACCTCGAACCACTTTCATCCAGGTGCTTGAGGCGGTCCAACACAAGTGAGGAGAATCGTTCCATACTCAAACGACTTAACTTTGAGTATGAGCCGCTCAGGAGACACTTCATGTCCACTTTGCAAGGAGTGGACATGAAAATACAACACATACTCTCTGTGCAACAAGAACTGCACTCAACGTTGAGTCTCTTCATGTTTAAGGTGGACAGGATCATTGGCTATCCTCAAGCGTTTCAGCAGGCAAGAACGCCCAAACGACCCTATGTTACGGATGATGTGGGAATTTTATATAAGTTGAGTGCAGGTCTGCATGTTGGGAGAATTGTTCGATTACACTTGATGTGTGAGTCGGTGACTGGGTTTCACACTGTCGAAGATCAAGAAGGGTTGAAGATACGATTGGATTTGGAGAAGTGGGGGTGGATTCAGAAAACTATTGAAATTTCATACAAAGTCATATATTATGCTGCAAAGGCTAGACTGAATGGAACCCTCGGGATAGTACAAGCGATTCCGGCCTTGGCAGATTTGGAATCGGATATTGTTAAACTGGATGGTATTAGCCGTGAAGATCGCAAGGCAGTTCTAAAAGGTGGGGAAAGCAAGGAGCTGAATGAAGCATGGCTGAGGATTCAGCAAATTCTTGCGCCTGAGCTTCAAAATAGCTATAGCTATTGCAAAATCTTCAAGTTGTATCAGGTGAAGTACGTGAGTTTAGAAAAAGGTGGGCATGCATGGGTGTGCGAAGAGTGCATGAATAAAGGCCTTCGTAGTGGAAGTTTGACATAGTAGGATTTAGAACAGGTTAGAATGCCACTATGCAATTGACAAGCATATGTTTAGACCCTCATGCAATATACAGCTCTGCAAATTCTTCCTTGCAGTTTTCACAAGGAAGAAGTCTTCTATAATTTTTGCCATCCTGTCAATCGCACAGTTATGTTTCTGAAGAAGATCAGTGTTTGGATAAACTAAGAAGATGACGTTTTGAGGTTAGAGTGTTCATATTGTCTCTTTGCAAGTCTCGCTATGATGAAAACCCTTCCGTTGACACGTGAGGGTGGTCATGTTGAACTTCCACACATATCCTTGACTTATTCTTATTTCCCACTATGAAGGTCCCACAAATGTATGATGGACCGGAACTAAAAATTAAGATGTGTTATAATTTTCAAGTAATATCCGTGTTTAAACAAGAGAGCAATATAGTCTGAAGAGAAAGCTTTTGCAAGAATTCATGCACAATATCCGATCTGTGAAGCTCAGAAATTCAGAAATTTGTAGCTCATGTGAATCTTCTTCTGTCACTTCTTTGTATGATCAGAAGATTTCACAAGATTTTTTAGGAGGCCTAACTCCAGTTCGAATGCATCTTACCAGTAAAACAAAACCTGTGCACAAATTTCTGTCCTGTGATATATTGTTGAGGTGTTATGAGAGTTTTTCGTTCGGTATTCTTTGTGCGACATCGCGATAACATGCTGTTTCATAGCGCGGGGTTCTCAGCGCATTTTAAATCTCCAGCACGCTCAGAACTGTCACGTGTATAAATGTGGTACTTTCAAAGCACAAATACTTTTGCAATTGGACTGCGTGTAGACGTTGAGTTAAAGAGAATCTTTACGTGGAGCATAAATTTTCAAAGGATGCAAGACCTCGTTTGCTGAATATGATGGGGAATGTGATTCTGGTTGCAAGTCCTTGACTAGGATTTTCAGTTTGCATTCATCTCGCAGAATGTAAATAACGTATGGTTTAATTGAACCAATCATGGGCGCTATGTGGACTGGGATATCTGTCTTTCAGGAAGATCATCACCTACAAATATTGTTTACGCAGTTGTAAATAGTCTTCTGAGAGCAAAGACCAGAACAATCATGGTGATTGCGATGAATTGAACAGAGAAGTATATCACGAATCGATTAGTTGAGGTCATACCAGAGAAAATTATACATCTCTAAATATAGTCCAGAAAGCTGCCTTCCAAATCCTCCTCATCAACGGTAATCAAGTTGATAGAGACCCAAAGCTTAGATTAGCAGTGTACAATTAGTTTTCCGAACCAGATCTGGGATGTCAGCATGCTCCTACGTCATGTCATGAAGTGTTCAAGATACGGAGGTATGGACTTTCCTAATCTGGACTTCGAAACACGAGTTGGGCATTGCAGCAGCAGGCACTTGAAGAGATGAACCCCGCCGCGCAAAAGCCTTTGTCAAATGTTGGTATTGTGATTGGGGATCCAGTGAATATTTAGGTTGAGGATGGTGCAGAGTTTGTGAGACTTTGCTTTCTTATACTCGAAAATTATTCGAAATTGGCGGGCCTGGCAACTTCGCACAGGTCTGCAGAAACGGCAGCAGACGTGTTTCTGGTGGCGGGATTGATGATGCTATGAGCTTTTATTTAGTGAATAGTCAGTCTGTCACCTTAGCTGTCTGCTATCCGACTCTGTCATCTTTGATCACACATCAGAGTTGATCACCACTGCCATCTCCGTCTATGTTCTGACACGATCATTATTTTCTATGGAGCATCTGCGTCTGTCCGCAGTTCGAGGAATATTGCCCAAGATTTGAGTTCGACTCACTCAACCAGGTTTTAACCTGTGACCCTTACTAGAACTCTAATTTACAATCTTACGTGGTTCACCCAAAGCCTCAGTTCATCATTTACAAACACTCGGGCGAAGAATTTCCATTTGATGCCGACCGTCAACATTTTGCCTGCTCCGGTTTACAGGCAATCTACAACTGATGCTGCGCGTTGTTTGCCATACGCTGACAAACCTCTCAGTGGAGGTTTCCTTCAAAACCCCTCTATGATTCGCTAGTTCCAGAACCAAGGACATTTGCAAGGATTTTCAATTATTCTTAAACTTGATTACTTCCGTAGTTCTTTGTTCGCAAACTAAAGTGTATATCCAAGATTATAAGCATCCGATACAATGCAATGAATTTTTTTTTCCATATAACATATCCACTTGATCCATAAAAATATGATTCTTACCATGAACTGGAGCTCTGTTTTGGGCATTAATCAAAAAAAAGTATGAAATATCGATAACAAAAAGAGATCCGTTATTAGGGTGTAATTGTTAGAAATCTTACTACTTTACAGTTAATCTAGATAGCCACTGAGAGTGACATAATACAAAAGTACAGAGAAAATGTCATCCGTTGAACTAAAATGCATTTGTGAATCTATTCATCTGACGTCCCTGGCTTTGTGAAGCTCGGTGTTTCCGAACCGAATGGATGCCAAGAAGATGGGCTTCAAAACTTCAAAATCGATAACTTGACTGCATGAACCAAACAAGATCACATCTGGATGTTTTTGTGCCAGCAAAGTACAACCGAAAAGTGACACCAGCTTAACCTTCAAGATGCTCTAGGTAGAGTATAAACATTTTCTGAAGGAGTCACACGAAGATGATTGTGTGTAACATCTTGACTTATGAACAGATTATCCATTCCTAGCAGGGAAATTTATCAATTTTTCCCGTTGAGTCCTAAGGCAACCCCTGGACTCAGCCCCAATTCTCTTAATTTTCAATGAGCTTATCTTCACCTTGCAAGATCGCTTGTGACCTCAATTTTCATGATTGAAAGGCTTGATATAAACTGGAAGTGAACATACTTTCAAGATTCTGTCATGTCCAAAACCACTAAAAACTTAGGAAGATTGTTAGTATTCTTCAATTTTATAAAACAGTATCAGACAGTACAGCGTGATACAAACACCCAACATACACTTATGAGAATGGTAAATGTGCTGGCAGTTCTGTATCGTGCCGATAGAAAAGTTTGTCAGGGTTGATGAAAGCAAAGCAAGAGACTTATATCACTAGAAAATGTTCTTCAATCTGATTGTTGAGGCTGTGCAGTGAATAATTTGATGCTGTCTAATTCTATCAACCAGTTCTACTCACAAGGAAAAGCGAAGCTTCAGGGCAGAGCATGAAAGACATTTGCAGCCTCTCCGTCATATTGATGAATTTCGCATCGGAAATCGCTGCCACCGCAGCTTCTCGAAAACAGCAATCTTACGACATCATGGTGTCTCTGGTTTCAGAAAGGGCAATCAAACATTCACTACCAAGGTAGCTCTCGCAGCAGGACCGAGAGGAATCGTCAATCACAAATCAGTGAGGGGTATGCACAATGAGGACCTTTTGTACACAAAAGCCACCGATTTCTTCCATTTCCATTCGCTGCGAGTTGATGGGGGATCGATCTTTCAACTCTACGCGATAAACGCGAAGCTGATCTGATGGTGATCGAGCCCCTCGCACACTCGCACACCACTCACTCATCGGTGGCGTCAGAAGCCGTCCAGGAATCTCCCACTCGCACACTGGCAGCCCATCTGCGGGGACTGAGCTGCTTCTCGACCATCCCCTCGTGCGTGAGTTCGTGAGGTGAAGCCTGTAATCTACATTATTTTGGCATTATAGCTGCGGGAACAGTTAGAATCAAATAATAATACATGAACAGAACTGAGTATCTGTTAAGTGTGAAGTAACACATCTACCATCCTTATGCTCGTTGCTTAAGAAATAGAGTGAATGAATATAACGCATAGACAATTCATGTGTTTATTTGCCATCTCATCAATCCAAAACTACTGTAATGCATAGTGAAATAAGATTTTATCTCATTGGTTTAAGAGTCAAAGAGTATTTCTTTGTGTTCATGATCTAACAGATTTCATTGAGATTGATGGAGCCGACTTGAAATGTGTGTTAAGTGAATTAGATGGTGCAGTCACAACTATGTCGATTTTTCAATATTTGGGACTATGATATGTTTCATGTTTGACACCTCTTTTGAACAAAATGTCTAGTAGGCAATAGTAATGTACTCGTACCAATTAACCAGGTAGACTTTTGTGACAATGCGAATTGCAGTTATAAGACTAAAAAAGTATAATTATAGCTCCGGATATCCTTGTCTTAAACCCAATAATATCAAACTATGTTATGGATAAGATGTCTGCTTAGTTTAAGAGTGATCTAAACTCCAATTGGAAGCTGTTGCTCTACAATTGTATTTATATTAGTATGTGCCTGTTATGTTTCACGTGCATGTGCAAGATAGATTAGGTGGCCTAACCTGTACAGTAGCAAGCAAATTAGGTGGATTAACTTGTATACTCAATTTACATCTTGTGCATAAATCATTCCGAATAACACTTGCTATCATATGCTTAAGTCATTCCAAATAACACTTGCTATCATATGCTGAATCCATATGTGAATAATCTCAGATAATTTTTTGAATATGGTGAGTAAATAGATTTGAAAATAATCTTTTTCTACAAATGATCTACATCTAACTATTGTTACAGCGGGTCAATTATGGAACTATATAGCTTAGATTATTTCGAGTACCCAGGTTCGCTAATTGTCCTAATTTTATCTAAATTTTCTATCCTTTTTTTTTTTATTAAAATCATAAACAAATAATTGTGTACGTCTTGGCAAGTTGTATTATTCGAAAATGATAAAAACATGAATATGATTTACAATTTATCAACATTGAGTTGCACTTTTTACTTTGTTCATATGTGCACATGATGATTCGATACAATCTGTAGGTCAATGTAAAACTACAGATGAACACTAAATTAGTTTTATTACACGTAAGTTCAAAGCAATGTTTTTCATTCCCACATACTGTTTAAGAAAAGATTAGTAACTGATGGCATGATATAGGATGTAAATTTTGTGAGAAGAAAATTACATGGAAAAGACATACAACATAAAAACAACTAGATAATCTAGGTGAGTTTATGTTCATGCCACATTAGATTTCTCAACTCAAAATCATAATATTTTTCATCTAGATTTCATCAACATAATACTTGATAGTCTAACTCAACATGGTAAATCATTTAAAATTTCAATTGTCAGTCAGATTTAAAACCCATAGAATAAACTCAAACGAGAAACACAAATTATACATTTGACACAAAAAAAACTTTATCCACCTAAATGAAGTGTCGTGATAGCGGTTCGGACTAGTTCAAACCCTAAACCTACGCGCATGGTCATGACAGAAGATAATCACAAATGAACACAAGGTACATTTCTTCAAAATATGAATATATCACAAAATACTTGAATTAAATCAATTATATTCTGACAAATAACATACTCAAGCTAATTAGACTTAATGAGTATCTAAAATATTTCCTTACACTTACATTAAAAATAAATGTTGAATAAATTGAATAGTCTTTATCATTGATGTGCTGATGTAGAGCTTATTTTTTGAAAAAATTTTTGTATGGTGTTAATCATTAAATAAAGATCAAGTGACATATAGTCCATTAGAGTGAATATGTAAATGTTATTTATATTGAGATATTTTTTTCAATTATATTTTAATTAAAAAAAATAAAATTTTATAATCTATGCACATATTCCACGCTTTAAAATATGAATTTTCTATCTTCAAATTCCATAAAATATCTTCATCGTTGTATATCAAAGTTTTTCAATCCGTCATTTAAATTAACAATTTATTTCCTAATAATAAAAATGGGATTTATTTTTAAAATTTTCAAATAGAGGGCTGACATTTTTAAGATATAAATATACAAAATTTCACATTGGATTATACATGATTTGATAATTTTTGTAACAATACGAAATTATTTAGATTTATTTGATAAAAATTCAAGAATTTTTTTACAAGTTATGTGTATTTATGCTATATTTTATTCATATTCATATTTAAATATCAAATGAAGATAATTTTTCTTCTACAAAAAGACATTTAAATTTATAAAAAATGTTCCTAATACTAAATCCTTAGAATAATAGAATAATCTTGGTCGAATTAAATCATTTGCATATGGATAGTCCCACCAGTATTACAGATGAAAAAAAAATAATTTAAGAAACAAAAGAACTAAATTTCATATTTTTGTTGATTATGACAGAAAACTCTTGTGCAATCTGTAATAAAAAAATATATTATTTATTTGATTAATAAAATCTATCTTGTGATCTTGAGAATCAAAGTGTTAATACGAAGAATTCTTTTTTGAAAGAAACATTATGATCATCTTAAATTTTCAGGGAATCTACAACCGATATATGCATTAAAGGATATTCAAATCAAATTGATTCGTGCTAAATATCTCAAAGATGCGTTGCTATTGCACATAAACAAACTTACTCTACTTGTGAATCCTCATGTGGTATTTGAGATTTCGTCTTCTCATATTGCTCATCAATCTAATTGTTTTTGGACCCAATGATAAGTTTACACTTTTATTATGCTTGACAACTTTTGGCTCGAATATCGTGATGATATGTAGTTTTACGATTGAATTGATTTTTGACCGTAGATGTGACATAGATTTGAACCTTTCTTAAATGAGGTTCAAATCTATATATAAATATTAAAAAAACATAAAATTTGAAAGTTTTGAGATATAAAGACATTATATGCAATAGTATAATATCTTTATGTATCATTATATACAAAGCATTTTGAGTAAAAGCGAACTTATGAAAGGGTGATCAGCTATTTTCAATGTGCAGTCTCTTTTTCTTTATATATATGAGAAGATAGCCAATTTTTTACCTATTGATTTGAAAATCATTGGACAAATGAATTATATTTTATTTGCGCTCGTAGTGGTCCTGTTAGAGAACTATTTTCTTGTCCGAGACCATGCGCTTAGTCCGGGCCGAGGTTCATCTCTAATCCCGATGGGGAGTCAGTGTAACAAAAGAATCCAAGAGGAATACATTGTAAGGATGTCAACTGTGTTTTCCCCATATACTTCAAATCATGGACGTAAATTTTAATAAATGTTTATGAGAGGTTCATCTCTAATCTAGATGGGGAGTTAGTGTAACAAAAATAATCCAAGAGGTATACATTGTAAGGATATCAACTGTTTTTCCCCATATACTTCAAATCATGTACGTAAATTTTGATAAATGTTTATGAGAGGTAATATTATTTAAGAACATGTTGTACAAAATCTTGCTAATCTATACTGAAAGTTTTCGTATCTTTAGCAGCTAGTGGAAAACTCATCACATTACATTATTCTCATTGGTATGCAGACTTTACTTCTTTTTGCATTTCGTTGAATTATAAAACTTGGATTTGTTTAGTTACATCAGCAAAAATATTTTACAATATGGTGCTATGAAGACTAGCCCGTGTCACTTGTTTGCTTTGATGCTAATGAGGCTTGATGGGACCTTCCCATCAAGTTTGCTAAACAACTTAGTCCTCCTTCTTAGTTTAATCATCTCAATTTTGCAATGGTCGAGATTCTTCCAGAAGGAGTGCAGTACTGCCAGAGTTTCATTCCATAATCAGCACAGGAACAGACAGACGTGGCAAATAGAGTAATTTAGAATTTCGTACATTTCCACTCGGAAGATTGACAAGAAGTCAAACTCTGACAGTCGACATTATAGAAGCATGAGCTGGTTGAGAATGCGATTGTCGAAATCCGGTGCAGGAGACATCGCCCATGTTGCAGATCGGGAGCCGAAATTCATCTTCTGAATCCAACCCCACAAGGTGAAACTTTGTAAAGAGATACGTGAATGGATAGCAATCGAAAGTAATGGAGGGACGAATTGCGGATGCGGGCAATTCGCCCGCAGATGAAGAACAGATCCAGATCCGGGAGAGCTCGTTGCGTGCGCACGTACTAGTTATCCCTTTGAGTATAATCTCGGTTTCGCATGTCACTTCGGCCGTGTTGCTGTCAGCCAAGCTCGCCAAGCAAGACATCACTGTCACAATCTTCACGGACCGATACATGCTGCCACACATACACTTGTTTCATGCGCCCGAAGCGCTGCAAAGTCTCGACATCCGATTGGCCATTATGAACCACGATGAGTGGGAACGTGAGTTGCATGAAGACTGGAGCAGACCATTTCAGGACTTGTACGACGTGATGCGAGCTGCAGAACCTTACTTTCAAAATATGGCCTCTGCCAGATCCTCAGGAGCTGCCGGCCTACCCACATGCGTCATAGCAGACATGTTCTGTCTTTGGGCTCAGGTACATATGACTATCTCCACTCTTCCCCAGGCGTGTTGTCCTTCTCGCCCTATTTCGCCAGACGTAGAGATTGCTCAGATTTGTCGTCTGCTCGGATTTCTCTGATTTCTAGGCCGAAACAGTTTTGGGAAAGGCTTCTCTATTGTAGATGTTTTTGTGTTTGTGACGAACCTTCTTTTGCTATTGCTCAGATTCTATTCGATGTCGTCTCGATAAAATACACATCAAAATTTGGAAGAAAGAGAGAATCCGAACTTGTGTATGAGAGAAATTCGTTTCGATAGTCAAGTTTGACACAGAGAGGGAGAATTGGGCTACTGATCATACCATCTCTGTAGAATACATATCAAAATTGGGAAAAAAATGAGAATCCACACTTGCGTATGAGAGAATTTCGATACAATAGTCAGGTTTAACACAGAGACGGAGAATTGGGCTAGTGATCATACCATCTCAATACACTACACATCAAAATTGGGAAAAAAGTAGAATATCTGACACGGGAGGAATGTTCATTGTACAGAAACTTTCACATGAACAGAATCTACCATGTTACGCGTATTTCCCTTGTGGTGCAAATTTCGCTCGTCTTCTTCAAGCGTTTCCGGCTCTCATTTCGGAACGAAGGTTTAGAGTGGGAGAGAATGGCAAATTCATCAAAAGCAAACAGACTATCACCGTCCCTGGTCTTCCACCTCTTTTGGACATAGAGCTGCCAAATTCCACCAAAATAAACCCTGTCTCAGTGAGAGTGGAAGCGGGACTGGATTTGTCGAAAGTAAACGGTGTGATAATCAACACCTTTTACGAATTGGAAAGTCATCCCATTCAAGTCTTCTTGCAGGCTTGCGATCCTACGTTGCATGTATGTCATCTGCCTCTGTTCCCTCGAGCTTTTATCTAGAGTAGCGACAACGAAATTTGTGCTTTCACAGGTTTGTACTACTTTGTTTACTTGGAAAATCAAATTCGAGAAACTGACGCATACCGACTTGACAAGACAGACGTCATTTGCAGATTTGTAATTTACAGGCTCAAACGTCCAAACAGAATTTTTCTTCTTTCAGATACTGGTGGGTGAAACCGGCGGAATTAATTCAATAGCTTATGTTTCTAGCTTCGATCAGTTCATCTATAATTCTGCATGCTTGGAATCTGAACAGTTACAACATTCCTCTTCGACTTGGTTTCTATTGAGTTATATGTATTTGATTCTATATAATTGACAGAGACACGCCAGATCTGCAGAGTCTGTTAGGAACCTCGTGCGTCCGTACCTCAATCACTCACTCAGCTGTCCTCTTCATCACATCAGCTTCTATCTGAGCTAAGCACGAACCATTTCACCGAACCGGGAGAGGGAGAGCTCATCTTTTGGTTGGTCTGTCTGTTGGACACACACATCAGATCAGGATTTGCAAACCCCGTTAGCTCTTCTAGTCCGCTGTGATTCTTGTGCTCACCGCTTCAATCCTGCACAGATTTGACCTGTTTCCAGCAGATTTCAGACACAATAGTTGCCTTCCGCCCATTGTAATAACCCACTAAAGGCTAAAACTGCAATATAGTGGTAGAAAGGTCGAACCCACAGGGACAGAGGAACACACAGGGTACAAAGTGTCACGTTTTAACAGACTATTGAGGAGTTTGAATTCTCAGGCAACTGTCACTCCCAGAAATACTGCAAGTGTCCACTCGGAGCGCACTCGGAGGTCGCACAGTGCAGCGTAACACACACACACACACACACACACCTGAAACTACAGAAACACAACCCAGAGATCCGTTAGGACCTCTACTTCAAGATTTCAGGGGGAAAGTCTCTCACGAGCACACTCGGCAAAGCTGCGGGCAGTGACTTCCAACTCCGGCTTTTACAACACTTCCACTAGCTTGCTGCTAGTGTAGGAAACCCGGTTTGGACTGCCTACTTCGGATCGAAGTCACTCCTACGCGGTGAACAACACTCTCAACTCACAAAACGCGCAGAGAACACAGGTCCGCACTGAAGGACTCACTGTGAAACATTCCAGTAACACAACAACAGTCTATTGAAGAGTTTGAATTCTCAGGCACTTGTCATTCCCAGAAATACTACAGGGGTTACCCTCAAGGCACCTGCTGCAGCGTAACCTGAATTTACAACCAAGGCTTACACGAAGTAGCAAAACTTCACTTTGGCATTCAGGGGAAAAATCCCAAGGAGTACAATCAGAAAGAAACACTCGAAGGTGTAGGGGCGAAACTGTTCAAGTATCTAACTAGTCACTGGCTCTGAGCATCGGCAGTCACCCGCAGGTGCAGATCCGAACTACTCAAGTCTCTAACCAATGTACTAGCTCTGAACATTCGGCCGAAGGCCTTCAGCTACAAAATGCGGAACGCTAAGTTGTAACTCCTCGTGCGTGGTGACAGAACTCAAGGACACAAACACGCAAAGGAAATGGGTTCCTGATCTGCACTTCTGATGGGAAAGAACCCCAGGCAAAACGCCTGGAACTATTTTATACCTTCTAAATCCTAACTAACACTACACTGCACTACGCTACACGCCTGCACGGAACCACGCTACACTACACTCCGCGGAACCTGTACTACGTCTCCTGCGCGGCCGACTGCCGCGCACTAACTCTCTACCCTGCCACTCTTCCGCTCGACTGCGCAGTCCCAACCGCTGCAACGCCGCGGACACCTCCCCCTCGAGGGCGGACATGGTATCCTGTGCCTTCGACAGAAAGGCCTCGAGCTTCTTCGCTACCTTCCGCCGACTCCTACTGTCGCCTGACAACAACCCGGCTGCGCGCAATTCAAACTCACGCAGTGTGAGTTTCTCCTGCGCCTTCACTTCCCAGTGGGCGTAGCCCTTGAGACAGTGGGCGACTCGCCTCGCCGTCTCCACCTTCGTGCGATCCGCCTCCTTCCTGCGATCCTCTTCAATCGTCACTAATTGCGATTCGGCTTCGGCACGTTGCGCTCTCAATTCGCCACACTCTGACTGTAACCTGCGGATTAACTCTTCATCCGCCTGCCGTGCGAGCTGACATTGTTCCAACAACCGCGTCTGTCGCACGAGCTCCTCTGACAAAATCCGATTCTGGGCCTGCTCAGAGTTGAGTGCTTCCTTGACCTTCACCTGCTCCTTGGTGAGCTCGCCCAGTTTCTCATCCTTCATCTTCTCGGAGTGCTTGTAGAACTTCTGATTAAGCTTGTACTGTCCCCACAAGCACTCATGCTTCTCCTTCAAGTCCCTCAACTCCTGGTCCACTCTAGCTAATAGCTTGCTGGTGTGGACTTTAGTGCGAGTCCGCCTGCGCACTAACTCGATGTAAGATCCCGGCTGGAGTGGGTCGGCGTATTTATCGACCTTGCGATCCAAGTACCGCAGCAACGGAATCACCTGCTCAGAGAGCGCCGCCGCCGGCGCTCCAACAATTTCCTCCTCCTCCTCCTCGGTGTCTTCTGCTCCTGACATTTCTTCCGTGGAGCCCCCGTCGTCATCATCCGAGTGGAGAATTTCAGTCGCCATTGATTGCGTTGGCGACTGCCCCGAGTGGGGCTGCACGTCCTCGACGTGTGCTGCCTGCGAAGGCACGGCTGCGGCCTCGCTGCTCGTCGCCAAAATGTCTAAGGCGGAAGGCGAATGTACCCGTGCGGCATCCCCGTCTCCCGCTGGTTCATTGCCCACCGCATTCTCTCTGTCTCTGTCGTCCGTCGTCGAAGGCGATTGAGCGGAAGGTGGCTGCGCGGGGTTGGATTGCGCATCGCGCATCGAGATTTCATCCCGCGGACAGTCACTCCGCTCCTCCGTCTGCTGCTCCCTTGATCGGTCCGTGGGGGCTGTGCCCGGCCCGTGCGCAGGCGCATTTGCCGGCGCCTTGTCCGCCGCAGGCGTAGCGCCGCGGACATCTATCGCCGAAGGCGACATGGCCGGGGGCCGCACGCTCGATGTTCCTTGGCCTATAGGCCCTACCGCCGAAGGCGAATCTATCGGCGGACTTCCCGCCGATGGTGCGGCCTCCGCACGCTCTCTGCTCGTATCTCCTCGGCTTGAAGGCCCTGGCGCCGAAGGCGCAAATTGCGGCGCGTGGTGCGCCGGAGGATCTGGCCCCGAGGGCCGGTGTCTCGTAGGCGGTTCTTCCGCCGGCTCCTTCCCCTTCCTGCGTTGGAACGGGGGTGATTCTTGCCTGTGCACAAGCGGCACGTGCGGAGGTGTTCTGTGCACAGGTGACCTGTGCACAGGCGAACTGCTCCTTCCCACGCGTAAGCGTAGATCCACGTCCACTTGTGTTCGCCGGTCCGCGGAGGCTCGTCCGTCCGCGGAGGTTCGCCTGTGCGCAAACGGAACCTCTGTCCGCATCGCACGTGGTAACTCCGGAGGCCCTTGGCCCGTAGGCGGCCTCTCTCCCGACGAGGTTGCAGCGTGGCCCGTCGCTCCTGCGGTCGTCCGCACTTCCTCTCGCCTCTCTGGCGACGCACTTCCTATCTCCGTCGCAATCGTCGCCGTGTCTGCACTGTCAGCTGGCAACACCAGTCTGCGTGCCTTCTGCTTCGGCCGGCTGTATGGCTCGCACAGCGGCCGCGGTCGAATGGGAGCAGAGGGTTCTTGATGCTGCTCCTCTTCGCACTCTTCCCTCCATCGCCGCTTCCGCGGCACTCGCGCTGCAGGGGTGTGTCTCCCTTCGTCCCTCCGTCTTGATGGGGTAGAAGTCGGTGACTCCTCTGCGTCAGTATCGACCTCGTTCTCCCGCACATACTTCCCGGGATGGTCGATGGACAATGGCGGAAAATGTTCAAGCTCCGCCGCTGTCAAACAATTCCGCTGTCGATAAAAATTGATGAGGAAAGGAGAAAGATGGTTTAGAGTTCCCCCCTTCTCCTCAAACGCGTGCTGTCGCATCACCCTGTGCAGGATGCTCGCCCAGTGAATTGGAGTTCCCTCGATGACGCACTCCACAAAAGAGACCTGCCACAATGTGATGTAGCAGGCACGGTGCGGCTGCAGTAATTGCATCAGCGCCGCGGACAAAGTCCGGCGAAATCGATCTTTGTAATCACGGGTCCTGTACCCATTCTTGGTAGACCTCCCGGTCTTGAACAGCTCCACAAATTGCGCCTCTTCTTGCTTGGTCACCTTGATGCTCTCACTGTCGAAAAGGAGATGCCCTGGCATGCCAGCACATCTTCCCAACGCCTGCGCCCAATCTTGGACTGTCCACCGGTCAACATGCGGACGCAATCCGCGCGAGGGTGGTCCCTGTGGCTCTAGCCACTCGCGCACCATATTCGCGCAGATGTAATTCCATCCCCATAGCAAGAAATCGAGCTTTCTTGCTATTAAGCGCTCTTCGAAAGCGCGCAGCCCGTTCTGCGGCAGGCGAAGTGGCACCATCCGCAATCTGCTCGGTCTCGTCATTGCGTTCCTGGGGTTCGCTCGGCCGCTCATTCTACTTCCGCACTGTCCGCGTTTCTTTCTCTCTCGGCAAACTCTAATCGCTCTCAATTCCAAATCACGCGCACTCACTTCTCCCTCAATCAACAAGAAATCTCCTGTGTGACGACGACGAGAATGGTCCGCAGCCAGCAGATGGATGCGCGCAGCGCGCACAAGAGATTGGAATCGCGAATTCAAGAATGGGACGCTCTCCGCCGCCCGGTCGAAGGTCATGGTCGGCTCTTGGTCGTGAAGAACGTCTCACTTGATGGCCGCGCCGGCTGTACGCTGGAACGGTCTTCGCTCTCACGCGCGGCTTCACGCTCCGCCGTCGTCGATTAAACTCTCACGCTCGAATTGGCGGATTTGAACTCCGCGAGCGTGTCACCCTCCGGACATGGGGGCGTAGCGCCGAAGGCGAGTTTTCCGCCTTGCGCGGTACACTTGTTCGTACCGCCCCTCGGCCAATCTCCTTCTGCCTTGACGCGTGTGTCCGCATGTCGGACAAAAATTCAACTCCTGCCTGTGCGCAGGCGGAAGCCTCGGTGGATCCTCCGCCGGTGCGGAACTCCATCCTCCTGTGCACAGGCGTTCGCCTGTGCGCAGGCGAATTTCGTCCGCGGCGCTGCGCTGGCGCGGAAGGCGTTGACCGTG